GACAACTGTGTAGAACATTGAAGCCCATTTGTCTTGGTCCATGGAATAGCTGGAGCTGGGTCGGATGTACATGAAGACTATTGTCCCGTGGAATATCCCAACAGCTGTCAGGTGAGAAGCACAGGTGGAAAATGCCTTGCGCCTGCCCTCAGCGGAGCGCATTCTCAGGATGGTAGCCACAATATAAACATAGGATACAAGGCTCATACCAATGCTGCACGCTTCAATGAAGCCATCAATGGCAAATAGCACAATCTCATTAACATAGGTGTCAGAACAGGAGAGTACAAATAGTGGAGGCATATCACAGAAGAAATGATTAATAAGATTTGACCTACAGAACGTGAGTTGGAATGTAGAGGAAGTGTAAACTATTGTATCCATTAGGCCTATACAATATGCAACAGCAATCAGTTGCTGGCAGAGCTTTTTGGACATTATAGCTGAATAGAGAAGTGGATTGCAGATGGCCACATACCTGTCATAGGCCATCACAGCCAACAAAACACACTCTACGTCTACAAACATCACATAGAAAAAGAGCTGGGTAGCACAGGCACTGTAAGAAATCCTTTTACTTTCACTTAATAAGTCAATCAGCATTTTAGGAGCAATGGTTGAGGAGCAGCAGAGATCCACAAAGGAGAGGTTGCCCAGGAAGTAATACATGGGTTTGTGGAGTTGGGATTGAGTGCAAATCAACAGAATCATCCCGAGATTCCCTAACACAGAGATGGCATAAACCAAGAGGAAGACCATAAAAAGAACAAGCTGCATTCTGGGATTGTCTGTGAATCCCTGAAGAATGAATTCAGTAACAACAGAATCATTTCTTTCATCCATGATCTATCTCAGTGGGTGCTGGGTTCAGAATATTAGCTGAATCTGAAATGTCTTTTTTTTTTTTTTTTTTGGTCTATCAAAGAAAAGAAAGATTTGCATTCTTTAGAGTTCCATCCATCTTGGCTTCTCTATAAAAAATAAGAGGACTAGGACCACATTTCCATCGTATTTGTCAAAATGATTGCTAATTCTGCATTAAGTAAAAGTACAAGGTAGGGCAGTGTGTACAGCTATACCAATATTTACTTCATTTGCTGAGGCACAGCACATGAGAAGTCATATTAATGCTCTGTGTTAGTGGTGTGACTATTTCTACAAAAATCTATGTTGGAATGAATGTTAAGAATATTATGTAAATTCTGAGCCGCTAGTAAACTTCTTTCCCCTTCTTTCTTGAGAAGCTTCTGAACTAAAAAAAAAAAAAAA